TTTGAAAAAAACGGTGTATTTTCTCCAAAAAACCAACGTTTTGGACTAACTTCACCACTTCTAAAGGTTGATTCATCATGAAATATAAGTATTCTATGCGGATTTTGGATCGGAATTTTCCACATAGATATTTCACCATCTGTAATTGTGTAGTAATAATCTTTGTGCGCTAAAAAATAACCAATAAATTCATTACGGTGTTTCACTACATCGTCCCTTTCATGTCCTTCAAAATACGGGCGTTGTGAATTCGCTTCAGATTTAGCTTCCCATCTGCGAAGATCGAGATGACAACTTCTTTCCGATCTTATGAAATCATCGCCAATTTGTTTTTTAATTCCTGTTAATTCATAATATTTTTCATTAATAAACTGAGCCAACTCCAAAGCCTTGAATTCACCTGACTTTTGTGAACACGCTTGAACGACAAATGCTTTTGCATCTGCTTCAATCTCGGGAAAGGTATCATAAAATGAATCAGTTTGTTTACCACCACGTAAATCATTTGAGAAGAGCAATCACTTCAAAACAAAAAACTTTGACACCATTTTTTCACATTTTCGTGACATCACGGAAAATTGTTAAGTTTACGTGGAATATGAATATGTTTGAATTGAGAGGTGTTTCACATATGCAGGATGCTCTCGTATATTGTTTTACTAGGAGACTCATCATGCTTACCTTCTTTCCGCCGTAATGATATTCGATTATGAATACTTCTTAATCGACTAATAGCTTCTTCGCGAAGTTTTTCCAGTTCATCTCGTCTTGAACGCAATTCATATAAAAGTTTTTTAGTATTCCAGCTAAAACAACATCGTTTAACGGTTTTAAGCTAATTTTCTGAAGATTGATTGCAAAAAAAACATATTCTACAAGCTTATGGAGAACTCGAAAAATAAAAACGAAAATAGTTCTTTATTTGTCCAATATAAAAAATTGGTATATAATGCTCTATAAGTTCTTCTATTCTTTAGAAAACACTCCGTTCCGACTTAGTTATGATCAGATTTTGTAGAGAAAACGACTTTACACATTTTGAAGTGCATATGTACCATTGTAACCTTATGGAGACTTGGAAGGCCCATAGCAGCAAAACTAACGTTAAAACAAGAAGATACCTCCTCAGGGCCTTCTGTAAATTGAATGCTGCTTCATGAGAAAATGTCATAAAGAGCTCGGAGACGTGTCATTTTCTTCAGAAATGTTTACTCTACACGATCAACTTATTTACGAAGAATTTCTAGATTGAACTCCGGGACTTGTTTTCTGAGATTTGGGTTTTTCAGAGGCCCGAATTTCAGAAGTTTTGATGGAACCTTTGTAAGTTATACATCACTTGAGATAGGAAATTGTTTCAGCTGTTCAAATCTTTTTTTAGATTTATTCTACTTATTTAGCTATTATGGTCGATGAGAAAAATGAAAAATAAAGTTGGCGAACAATTTTTGGACTCACTGTGGGATTAACGGGCAAAGTATTTATACACGAAAACCGCTGCCAGGCTTCGTTAAGTTTTCTATTAACAGATATTGTAGAGCTTTTCAAGAGCTATTTTTCTATACTAAAGGCTAGTTGCATTCTCTCTTATTTATGGGTTAAAATGAGGAAACATGATCGCTGAAAGACGATCACCAGATAGAGGATGTTCGAAAATAAATGTGTAAAATCGTTTTCTCTACAAAATCCGCTCAAAATTAAGTCGAAAAAGCAGTAGGCCAAAACAAGTGGAAAAGCCAATCACCGCCTTTGATTTCTTTTTCTGGTTAATTGCTACTTTAAAGAAATCGATAGGTTGTTAATACAGTGGCCGCCAAAATTATTCACCGACCTTTGTCTGTAGATTTTTTCTTGTTTTTTCTTGAATAAAAAAGAACCCAATTAGTACTTCGTGTAGGGGAAATTCCCGCCTACAAGAATATGACATGG